CTTCTGTGCGGAGCACGGCATCCGCCAGACTTTCACGCTTCCGGCCTCTCCGCAGCAGAATGGGGTTGCTGAGCGCCGCATTGGATTAGTCATGGAGGTCGCTCATACCTCCATGATCCATGCGGCTGCCCCCCATTTTCTGTGGCCGTTTGCGGTCCGGTACGCCGCGCATCAGCTCAACCTTTGGCCCCGTGTCTCCTTGCCGGAGACCTCGCCCACACTGCTGTGGACGGGGACGGTTGGCGATGCGTCGCGTTTCCGGCTCTGGGGTGCTCGTGCCTTTGTCCGCGATACCACCGCGGACAAGCTCTCCCCTCGCGCCATTCCTTGCGTCTTCCATGGCTTAGTCCCTGACGCGCCTGGCTGGAAGTTTTACGACCCCGCCTCGCGCCGTGTCTTTGCGTCCCAGGACGTCACCTTTGACGAGTCCGTCCCCTTTTACCGCCTCTTCCCCTACCGCACTGCTCCTCGCCCCCCCCCGCCGCACTTTCTCGCCCCAGGTCCTCCCCAGGTAGACCCCCTCCCCGCACCAGGTCCTGCTCCTTCAAGTGTCTCTCAGGTAGACCCCCCTGCGACTGCGCCTGTTGAGGTCACTGGTGACTCCGGTCCTGCTGCGAGTGGTGCTGTCCCGGGGAGTGCGGAGCTTGGGGGTGCTGAGTCTGGGGGCGCTGAGCGTGTGGAGCCTGGAGGTGCTGCGTCTCGGGGTACTGCGTCTGGAGGTGCTGCGTCTGGGGGTGCTGAGCCTGTGTGTGCGGAGCCTGTGGGTGCTGAGTCTGGGGGTGAGTTGCCCGAGGGTTCTGAGACTGCTGTTAGGCGGTCTCCTTGGAGTAGCCGTCTTCGTCCGCGTGTGCCCCTCACCTCCCAGCAGCTGCACGACTGGTACGGTCGCCGTCGGCGTCCCACTTCTGCACCTCAGGGCTCTCCTGCTGGAGGTTCTTCTGCTGGTGTCGCTGGTCCCGGAGGTGCTCGTACTGGGAGTACTGGAGCTGCTGGGGCTGGTGGTGGTGCTGCTGGAGGTACTGGAGCTACTGGCGGTGCTGGAGCTGCTGAGGGTACTGGAGCTGCTGGAGGTGCTGGAGGTGCTGGAGCTGCTGGAGTTGCTGGAGCTGCTGGGGGTACTGGAGCTGCTGGAGGTGCTGGAGCTGCTGGTGGGGCTGGTGCTGCTCGTGCTGGTGGCACTGCTCAGCCGCGCCTGTTATTTGCTCCGCCGTCTCCGTCGTCTCAGCCACCACCTGACTCTGCACTTCGCCAGGTTCTCAGTCTTCCCTCGTCTACTGGTCTTCCGTTAGAGCCTGGCTCCCCGCTGCCTGCTCCTTCTCCATACACAGAGCAGCCTGGTGGCCTTGCAGAGCGTCGTGAGCCTGTGTCGCGTCCTGTCTCCCCTGTCAGTTCCGGTCGTCGTGTTCCTCTTCAGAGCCAGCCGGCTGTCTCCGGCCCTCCCCTTGTAGTTCGTCGTCCTTCCTCTCCTTCACCGCGTGTTCCTCTGCCGCCTCCCCCTGCGTCCTCTCTGCCTGTCGTTGCTGACCCTGCGTCTGACCGGTTTCGTGCTGAGCACTCTACTGTCACGCGTCTGCTTGCCACTGTTGCCACTGACCCTTCGTTTGAGTCTGCTGCTGCGTCTGCCTTAGTCACTGAGCTTGTTGCCTTTGCTGCTCACTGTCGTCTAGACTACGCCGCCAGTCTTGTTGCTGAGTCTGCGTCTGTCTGTCCTCCGTCCGTCGGGGGTGAGTGTGCTCTTGGCACGGACGTCCTTGAGGACAGGCAGGAGGGCCTTGAGTGTCTTGCAGCCGCTGCGCCTCATCTCGTATCCATGCTGCTTGCCCCTGAGGGAGACCCGGATGCACCAGACATCCCTACCCCGCGCTCTTACGCTGAGGCGATCGCGGGTGAGTACTCCTCTCACTGGCAGATAGCCATGGACGCAGAGATGGCATCCTGGAAGTCCACAGGCACCTACGTCGACGAGGTTCCCCCTCCTGGGGCGAATATTGTCAGTGGCATGTGGATTTTCAGGGTGAAGCGGCCGCGAGGTTCTCCGCCTGTCTTCAAGGCTCGTTACGTGGCTCGAGGCTTCAGTCAGCGAGAGGGAGTTGACTTCTTCCAGACCTTCTCCCCCACCCCAAAGATGACCACTCTTCGGGTGCTGCTGCACGTTGCCGCTCAGCGTGACTACGAGCTTCACTCTCTTGACTTCAGCATAGCCTTCTTACAGGGCAGCCTGCACGAGGAGATTTGGCTGCGCCGCCCTCCTGGTTTCACTGGGTCGTTCCTTCCTGGTACCCAGTGGAGCCTCCGGCGGCCGGTCTAAGGTCTCCGCCAGGCGCCACGTGAGTGGCACGACACACTGAGGACGACACTTGCGGCTCTTGGGTTTGCTCCGTCGACTGCTGACCCGTCGCTGTTTTTGCGCACCGACACTTCGATGCCGCCGTTCTACGTTCTCGTGTACGTCGACGACTTGGTCTTTGCCACTGCTGACACTGAGGCTCTCGCCCTGGTGAAGTCGGAGCTGCAGAAGAGACACACGTGCACAGACCTGGGTGAACTGCGCAGCTACCTTGGCTTGCAGATCACCCGGGACAGAGCACGCCGCACCATCACACTGACTCAGTCACACATGGTGCAGCAGGTCCTTCAGCGCTTCGGTTTCACCTGGTCCTCAGCACAGGCCACTCCTCTGGCTACAGGTCACTCGCTCTCAGCTCCACCTTCGGACGAGTCCGTAGAGCCGAGTTGTCCTTACCCAGAGTTAGTGGGCTGCCTCATGTACCTGATGACTTGCACTCGTCCTGACCTTGCGTACCCTCTTGGCCTTGTGGCTCGCTACGTGGCTCCTGGTCGGCACCGAAAGGTGCACATGGATGCAGCCAAGAGGGTACTACGCTACTTGTGCAGTACATCAGGCATGGGGCTCGTGCTTGGAGGACGGGGTGACGTTGTCCTCACTGGTCACTCGGACGCCTCTTGGGTTGACGACCAGGCTACGCAGCAGTCGTCACAGGGTTACACCTTCAGCCTTGGCTCTGGTTCAGTGTCTTGGCGTTCTACACGCTCGTCTTCAGTTCTCGGCTCCAGTTGTGAGGCTGAGATCTACGCCACAGCCATGGCTGCACAGGAGCTTCGCTGGCTCACCTACCTGCTGACTGACTTGGGAGAGCGGCCTCGTTCTCCTCCAGTGCTGTACGTCGACAACAAGGCCGCCATTGCCTTGTGTCAGGAGCACAGACTGGAGCACAGAACGAAGCACATCGCTCTCCGTTACTTTCTTGCTCGAGAGCTGCAGCAGCGTGGCCAGCTTCGTCTTACTTACGTGGCCACTCGGGCCAACACTGCTGATATATTCACCAAGGCGCTTCCGCCTGGTGATCATCAGCGTTTCTGCACTTTGTTAGGCCTTGTGCCCACGGTTCCTCACTTGCTGTAGGCTTTGTTTGTGCCATGATTTCTATATATTCCTGCATGCTTGTTCTTGTAGGTAGATATCACTGTACTGTTGTTGTTACATATATATCTCTGCATGTGAACTGGCCTTGTGGCCTTCTTGCTTGTGTTCAGACTGCGTGGTGACGTTGTGATCCACCCTGAGCTTGCTTTGCACTTCCTGACTGGTCTTATGACCCTCTGTTCTCCCCCACTCTGCCTATGGGGGTGTGTCAAACATATGTATATCTATGTTCTAGTTTGGGTAGGCTTAGTGGGGTACACACTGTGGGGTACAACCCCTTAGGTTCATTCTTTGTACCAACCCTCTCGATAATCGACATCACTTTTCCTGCCTATGATTCTAACATAAACGAGTGGTCCTATAGATGGACCTGCTCTGAAACCATATCGAGAGAACTGTGCAGGAATGATTGGATTAGCAAGACTTGGGGTACAAGTACTAACCCTAGAAGTGTTGTACCCCATAAGGAGTGCCCCACTATAGCCTACAAGATGGTACTTTGACAGAGAGTACAACCCTTTTAGGGCTTCCCTTTATGTACTCCCATGCATGCTAGTGCAGCCCCCCTTTCTTCTGCTATCATTTCTATCTTCTTAGTTTAACATCGTCTAACGCGATATAACCGTCAGTGGCGAGGAGTTATTCTTACGATGGCGATCAATCGAGGCGGCATTCTGTATTTTCTGCTGGCTACCAGATCGCACTTGTTATGCACGGAAAAGTCGACGGGAAGGGCCGTCTCTATGTGCTACTTAAGTCTTAGCATAGTACGGAGATGGGCGTAACTATACAAAGCTAACGACGAGAACTAGGGCTATGGAGCACACTATACTACGAGTCTAGTAGTGTATTCTCGAGTTTCAAGTTCTGAAAGTGTGAACAGTGGTACTTGTTCTTGTTTGTTTCTGGCGAGGCTTGTCGCTGTTTTTGCTGTGGTGCATCACCTTCTGGCCCAACAACTCCCTTCTCGGTGGGTCGCGAGGGAGAAGCTTTCTCAACCTGGTTACCCTGTTCTTGTCGAACTCAAGTTCAAGAATCTTGAAGTTGAACCCTTACCATTCTAGACTCGGGCTTTAAACGGAGAAAATATGAGACGCGAGCTTTAAGGGAGATCGTTACAACGACGTCTGCGATTGTGCGACTCGATATACGGGTACGATCCTGCGATATTCGCACTTTTACCGTGCCCTAAGGGCTGTCTCGCGTTTGGATGTGAGGGTCCCATGTTGCACAGAACACAGTTTCAAAATTACTGGCCAATTGCTGACATTCTGTGTCAATGTCAAAACATCGGATTCAAAATGTGATTTCGGGATTATATTATCTTTGTGAAATAAATCGAATAAAGCATGTCACTGGCCGTGCAACAAAGCACTGCCTGCACGTTATCGTCTAAATCTAACGTATTAGCCTTATTTTTATGGCTTCCCAATAAGGGATCTATGTAGCTCCAACACCGTTGACAGAAGCCACGTGTCTTCGGCTACAGTATAGTAGCTCCATTCCCCCGCTCGACACCTGGCAGCGTCAGGGGAGAACCCCCTTTAGCACCCTTTCAGGCGGTGGTCTTAGGTGTCTTGGGGGTCTTGGGAGTCTTCGGAGTCTTGGGCGGGGTGGTCGTAGGAGTCGGAGACTTGGTCGAGGGTGACTTAGTCGTCGGGGGAACCGCGCTCGCGCCCTTGATAACGAACCCCTTAGGCTTAAGCACGCGGGAAATTCCCTGCGCGACCACCGTCGGCTTAATGGAGATGTCCTTATCGAGGACAGCGGCGCCGATCTTCTCCATGCCGAACATGCCGACGCCCTTCTTCGTCGGGGTCAGCGTGATCGGCATTCCGAAGGTCGTCTGGAGCTTCCCGCCGGAAGCGGCGAGAGCCTGTAGCTGCGCGAAGGTGTAGGTGCCCTTGACGGCGTGGAACTTGACGACTTTAAGGAGGTCGGCGGTGGCGTACTGGGTGAGGTTGAATTCGGTAAGAGCTTTGTCGTTGGGAACGAAGATGGTCAGATTCTGCTGGACGAGACTCTTCAGCTGAGATTGCTTCACTGTGGTTGGAGAATCAGGAACAAAGGGTTGGAAAAGGGGGGAGTGGTAGTTAGGAAGCGGGAGGGAAGGGGTGAACTGAAGAAAGAAAAAATGTTTAGCTTTAGGGTTGGGAATAGGGATTCTCTGCAAGTGAAGGTTCGGACAGAACGTCCACGAATTCGTCAAGCGAATTTGATGCGGAACGCGTGTATGTGCCACTTACGAATTGCGCCGACGAGTGATGCGAAGGCCTTGTAACCAGGTTTCGCTTTGACGACGGTGATCGCATCGTTCAGGTTCTTCTCGTACAGCGTCATCTTCTGCGCTGCCACCAGGGGAGTAACCACCCCGACGACGAGGACCGCCAAAAGAGCAAGAGATAGGAACCTGGCCATGGCGACGAGTGCGGCGTCCTTTGATAGGAAGGAAAACAACTCCGGAATCGGACGAGGAACGGAACCCAAGTATGAATCTGCGGTAGAACTAGCAAGAGATACTGGATCTGAGTTGAGAGCTAAGGAACTAGAAGTGAGCAGTAGTTGCAACCTTAGCTGGATGACTAAGGTGTAACATCTATGGCTATTTGAATCTGCAAGTTTCTTGCGAACAACCGTCAGTGATGTTGCCACTCAGCTCGATCGACCGATGGAAAACCAGAACCAAGGAAATTCGCGCGGCTCCAAAGATTCACGCCTCCAGCGTTTCCAATGCGCGACTCGAAATGTTTTCGATTTGGTGTGAATGGGGCTCGAGGGTCATCGTCGTGGCTTGGGTGTGGCGGCATTCTCGAAGCGCTGTTTGATTGGTCGGTCAACAAAGCCAGATACATATGTCGCCTGCGAGGAAACTCACAGTCGCCCAAGTGTGCGACGGCGCAATATGACCAATCACAGCGGCAGGACGAGACAAATTTTGGCGGGTAAGCAAGAATTGGAATTTGAGTTCGTGACATTCTCACGGGCCAGCAACGGCCCAAAATAAACCCGCGATGTGGCAACGTTTACGATTGGATGCGACTTGCTCAGCCGAGGTTAGGTATAGCAAGGCGACCGCGGCCAACACAGCAGACGATGGCGCTACTGCTCATTTGCACAGATCCCAACAGCGCGAACATCGAAAGTCAGTAGGAATCAGAATTTGCTAAGAGAATTGAAGGCGTTTCGTGTCTACACTCTCAAAGCCAATCCCATGAATATGTTAAGCAATATATGCTAAACGTGAGAATGACAACAAAAGAGATAAAAAGCTTGTTAACTCCCAATGGAGAAAAAAAACACTCTTATCCCAAGCTAAGCGCCAGATCTATGCCTTCCATGGGAGCATTGCTGTTCCGTTCTTCTTCCTTCACTTTCCCCTTCTGCCCCTCGTCTTGACGCACGTATTCCATATAACCGCCAGAAACATGGACATCACCACCACTGTAACTAGCAGATGACATCCCCAAGAAATAACCCTCCATGCCATTCCCTGTCACATTCAGAGGCTCCCGGAAACAATCCAAAGCACCCCCGTCTACACTCTTCCGTTTTTTAGCGGGCGACGCCACACTTGCCCGTAGCGCGTGGTTCGGAAGGGACTGAGCCAATCCAGTGTTTGCCTGGAGAGAGGCAAAGTGAGCAGAGAGGAAGTGAGTGGAGAGAGAGGAGGAGGAGGAGTTGCGAGGTAAGTGTTTTCGAACGGCCGGGTCGCTCCCAATGAGGCCGAGGCGACTGATGGTAGCTGACTGGTCTCCCAGGGAGAGGGTTCGCTCTAGGGCCTTTGCAATGCTGCTGCTGCTGCTGCTCGCCCCTGCACTGTCAGCCTTCCCTGATGCTTCCCCTGCTGCTGCTGCTGCTGCAGCCGCTGCAACGTGAGGTGACAGTGAGAGACTAGCACCCAGGGTTGAAGTCCCATCTGTTGGTGTGGTTGGGGTGGTATGCGTTGGGGTAGTCTGTGTAGGAGTGGTTTGTGTGGGGGTAGTTTGTGTGGGGGTATTGGACATGGCATGAGATGAGGCAAGGGGTGAGGAGGAGGATGGTGATGAGGATGAGAGGGTGTCACCCCGCCATGCCTTGGCGGGGGGGGAGGGGAGGAGAGAGAGCGAGAAGGAGAGAGGTGGGTTGGCGGTGGCGAGGGGAGAGGGGGGTCGAGGAGGGAGGGGAGAGAGAGGGCGGTAAGGAGGGGAGACCTGTTTCTGTTGCTGTTGCTGCTGCTGGTACAGCCGATGCTGCTGCTGATGTTGCTGCTGCTGCTGCTGCTGCTGCTGCTGCTGCTGCTGCTGCTGCTGCTGCTGCTGCTGCTGCTGCTGCTGCTGCTGCTGCTGCTGCTGCTGCTGCTGCTGCTGCTGCTGCTGCTGCTGCTGCTGCTGCTGCTGCTGCTGTTGGTGCTGGTACTGCAGACTATGCTCTGCTGTTTGGTAGATTGGGCTGGATCCAGCCGAGAGAGGAGAAGAGGAGGGAGCAGAGAGAGGGGAGGAGGAGGAAGGCACGAGACCATGATTGATTCGAGGAAACGCATGCCCGGTTGAGCTCGGTGCAAAGGGGTTTCTGGTGCAAGAGGGAATGGCAAGATAGCCCACGTGTCTGCCCGCGTGCCTGCCCATGTGCCTGGTGCTCCCTCTCTCTGTCCGGCGATTCATGTGAGAGTCGAATCCCCCAGCGGCAGGGGCACTCTGTTGTGCCTCCACCTTCACGCTCGCTTCAGCACTCATATGAGAATCAACGCCTGAACTGTCTCGACCAGGCATGTCAGTGTCAATCCCTATGCTGCCCCGAGCAGTCATGTGAGTGTCAACCCCTACGCTGCCCCGAGCAGTCATGTGAGTGTCATTATTAGGGAGTGCTGCGCCAGATGCTGCTGCAGGAGCTTGCTGTGGTGCCACGTGTGCTGCTGCAGGAGCCTGCTGTGGTGCCACGTGTGCTGCTGCTGCCAGGATGGCGCGCAGAGCTGCCTGCTCCGCTGAACCCGAAGCACCATACGCAGCAGCAGCAGCATTACTTGCACTAGAATGATTACCAAATGCAGCAGCAGCAGAAGAAGAAGAAGAAGCAGCAGCAGCAGCAGCAGAGGTGGGAGCGGAGGGAGCAGCAGATGCAGCTGATTCCCTGTCACAGGCCTTGAGAGCCTCTGCTACGAGCACTGCTGCTGCTGCCTCTGCCTCGGCTACCAATGTCTTAGCCGCTGCTATAACTGCTAGCAACACTGCTGCTGCTGCTGCCACTGCAGGTTCGGGTGCTGCTGCTGCTGCTGCTACTGCTGCTGAGGCTTCCCCTCTTCTCTCTCCATCTCCTGCGGCTTCTGCTGCTGCTGCTGCTGCTGCTGCTGCTGCTGCTGCTGCTGCTGCTGCTGCTGCTGCTGCTGCTGCTGCTGCTGCTGCTGCTGCTGCTGCTGCTGCTGCTGCTGCTCCCACTGATCTGCTCTCTAACATGGCGGATAAGGCTGCTGACAGGGCTGCCACGTTGCCAACGGCTATTCCCAGCTGTCCCACACACTTTGGAAGCTTCCCAGCAGCTGCAATATACTCTGCCATGGTGGGCCAGAGAGCGGGCGGCACGAGTGACATCAGCGGATCACACGATTGGCCGGTTCCTTGAGATATTTTAGGCAGCATCGTCGCTGCCAGGGAAGGTGTGAGTTTTGAAGGTGTGACTGTATTGGCCGTGAGTGTAGCGGGGGTGAGTTTTGCCGTGAGTGATGTTGTGTGTGGGGGGTGTTGGGGTGTGTGCTGTGCTGCTCCGGATGCTGTTGTTACATGAGGCACCCTCAGAGGAGTGAAACCAGGAGCAGCAGCAGCGGTAGCAGCAGCAGCAGCAGCAGCAGCAGCAGCAGCAGCAGCAGCAGCAGCAGCAGCAGCAGCAGCAGCAGCAGAGGCAGCAGCAGCAGAAGCAGAAGCAGAAGCAGAGGGAGAAGAGGAGGAATGAAGCAGGGAGAGCAACCAAGCAGGAGGGGCCACTGGAGGAACAGAATTCTGCAGAGCATGCGATCCCACACCCCCCATGCTGCTGCTTCTGGCGCTGGTGCTTCCCTGAACCACGCCTATCCCAACGCCGGCTGTAGCAGGCTCGGTGAGGGGGGTTGTAGCACTGCGGCTGATCATGCTGTTGCTTGCCGGACTAGACGAGTGAGTGGCATCGATGGGGGCATTGACAGCACCTACTGTTGCTGCTGCAGCTGCTGGGACTGCTGCGGCTGTTGGGACCGCCGCACCTGTTGGGGCTACAGCGGAGGTGTTTCTTCCCTGTTGGAGGGATGCCACTAGAAGCGACAGAAACTGCTGCTGCTGCTGCTGCTGCTGCTGCTGCTGCTGCTGCTGCTGTTGCTGCTGCTGCTGCATATTCTTCTGCTTCTGGTCTTGCTGTTTCTGCTCCTGCTGTTCGTGCTCTTGCTTCTGCTGCTGCCTCTGCTGCTGCTGCTGCTGCTGCTGCTGCTGCTGCTGCTGCTGCTGCTGCTGCTGCTGCTGCTGCTGCTGCTGCTGCTGCTGCTGCTGCTGCTGCTGCTGCTGCTGCTGCTGCTGTTGCTGCTGCTGCTGCATATTCTTCTGCTTCTGGTCTTGCTGTTTCTGCTCCTGCTGTTCGTGCTCTTGCTTCTGCTGCTGCCTCTGCTGCTGCTGCTGCTGCTGCTGCTGCTGCTGCTGCTGCTGCTGCTGCTGCTGCTGCTGCTGCTGCTGCTGCTGCTGTTGCTGCTGCTGCTGCATATTCTTCTGCTTCTGGTCTTGCTGTTTCTGCTCCTGCTGTTTGTGCTCTTGCTTCTGCTGCTGCCTCTGCTGCTGCTGCTGCTGCTGCTGCTGCTGCTGCTGCTGCTGCTGCTGCTGCTGCTGCTGCTGCTGCTGCTGCTGCTGCTGCTGCTGCTGCTGCTGCTGCTGCTGCTTCTGATCCTTCTGCTCCTGCTCCTGCTGCTGCTGCTGTTGCACCAGCTGTCTCTGCTGCAGCTGGTGCAGCTGCTGCTGAAGGCTAAGAGCCCCTTGCGCCCTCCGACCTATTGCAACAGCCCCTCGTGTCTCACCAATTCTCCCCAGCCTACCGTCGATACCAATACCAGCAGCAGCAGCAGCAGCACCACCACCACCACCACTACCGACAACATCACTGGCAGCAGCAGCACCACCACCAACACCAGCGGTAGCGGCAACGTCAGCAGCAGTATCACCAGCAGAACCACTGGTAGAAGAATCACCCTCCCCCACTCCCCCTCTCTCCTCCATCCTCACATCTTCTGCACCGCCACCAGGCTCGGCGGCACCACCAGGCTCAGCCCCAGGCTCGGCACCACCAGGCTCGGCACCACCGGGCTTGGAAACACTAGGCTCGGCAGTGCTGGTTCGGAGGCGGAGCCGGCCGGCAAAGGTGGGGGGTGGGGGATGGTTGTGCGAGTGGCTGTAGGTGATGCGAGCCAAGGCCGGGTCGAAGGGCAGAGATGGGTCCACGTCGACGACTTTACGCGCCGGGCATCGGAAGCCGGCTCTGCCCTTCTCCCCGCTCGCTTCACCGCACTTGTAGTAGGCTCTGCTTTTAGGTGGGGAGCAGAAGGTGGGGAGGAGGAGAGGCAAGGCCGGGTTGAACGGCAAGGAAGAGTCTACGTCGACGACTTTACGGGCGGGGCACCGAAAGCCGCTTTTGCCCTTCTCCCCGCTCGCTTTACCTTCTCTCCACACTTGTAGTACGCTCTGTTTGATTGGAGAGGGGGGAGAGGGAGGAGAGGAGGAGTGGGAGGAAGTGGGGAGCAAAAGGTGGGGAGCGAGAAGGTTGGGAAAGTACTGTGAGTGGATGGAAGTGATTCGAGCCGAAGGCGGGTCGAAGAGCAAGAAAGGATCCACGTCAGAGAGGGAGAGGATCCACTTTGGGCTGGACACCGAAGGCGGCTCTTCCCTTCTACTCCCAGGCATTACCGCACTTGTAGTAGGCTCTGCTTGAGTGAGAGGAGGGGGGAGAAGGAGGTGGGGAGGAGAAGAAGGCAGGGATAGAGGTGTGAGAGGATGTGGGTTGAGGAGGGGAGTGCGAGGGGAGGGAGTGGATGTAGCTAGGTCAAGCCAACATGGGAAGACGGTTTTATAATGAGCTGGTTTAGTAAGAGGTGGTGGTGGAGTAGAAAGAGGGCCTCTGGTCTACAGTAATTTCTAACGCTGGGGGAATAGAATCTGGGGTAGGGGGGGGGCGAAAAGAGAGAGAGAGAAAAAAAAAACAAAAGAAATGAAAGAAATAACACCAAAGGATCATATTTTACATAATGTGAAATAAAAACTAGCATCACCTTTTTTTCCTCGTATAGAAGGCTCATTTGAAAATATTAAATGCAATGCATGTATTTACATTTTTTGTCATTTCATTTTCTGCATGTTGTCAAAGTAACAACTTGTTACTTTTGAGCGACATTCTATCGCCTCGCCGGGGCACGAGCCAATCAGGATGTAGCGTCAGACTCATGAGCACTATACCGCGAAGTTTTTGCGACGGTTACCACCACGGGAATCCCCAGAAAGGAGGCCGCCCCGTACAACTCCTCGTATAAAATAAGAATTTATCTGCTTCGTTTCCGTCACGAACACAAGAGTCAAAGCCGCTTGAAAAAGGAGTCTACTACGGTAGACTCTGCGCGTTTCCCGCAGCTAAAACGCTAATCGTCGTGCGTCGGTATTACCTTCTCACAGAAACCGGGTCGCCAATCTTCGACAGAACTTTCTCGCCGTATTTCAGCCAGTGGTAACCGTCCGCCGCGACCAGACTCATCAGCGCCATTTTATGCAGAATCAGCTGCGGCTCGTCAACGGCGTTGGAGCCATTTGCGGCTGCTTCCAGGGAGGGCGAAGTCTGCTCTCCTTCTGATCCGCTTCCAGCCGCAGGGAGCGCCGCGACTGGCGGAGCCAGTGCCATTGGACGAGAGGTTGGACGAATCGATTTGAGCTACTGCGTGCTAGTAGCACTACCTCGGCTGTACTCAGAAGTATGAGCGAATAATTATTGTGAGCTTGCTGCAAAGCACTGCGTTGATTACTTGCAAGGTCCTAGCAAGACTTCAGGGTCTACTGAAAGTTCCGAGCATGCCAGGAAAAGAGTGCTTGCACTGGTGTTAGTTGGTGCAATGCTTGCAAATGTGTCAAGATCTCACAGGGCTCGGAGGCGCGACATTGAAATTCGCAACAGTGTCTGATCTTGACATGTTGAGTCAGGTTCGCGCGGTGCTGCAAGCACGAGGACGCAGTCAGTACAGAAGCACGACGACACGGCGTGAATCGCAATTCCCCATGGGAACGCAGATCCTCCGCGTCGCGAACAAATGGAACGTGGGGGTGACTGAAGATAGTGCCATCCTTTGCCGTACAATACACCAACCTGGACAACACTCACCCTGCATCCCAGGTCAGTTCGTCAGTGAGTTTGACAGCAGTTCGCTCAGGTCAGGTGGGGCCTTTGCGGAAATAGCTGGACATCGACCTGTAAATGATCAACAATATCCTTTGGAAACATGAATATGCGAATCCATTACTGAACCTGTTGATTGATACTCTCAATTGAAAGTCTCCACCAGGAAGTTAAAGATGGTGTGCTGAAACTGGAAAGTGGGTAAATATATTGACCTGTTGATTGATACTCGTAATTTCCGTTTCCTTTTTTCCAGGCCGATATATCAACATCGTGTTCACTTGCGCTTGTGACCCGCAAATTACGGGGTATACAAGCCACACAATTATTTTTGTACACTATTCTGTCCTTTTTGTTCCCACCTACAGTAGTTTGGCATTTTTCTGTGGCATGGGTACACGTACAATGCTACAGTGCAGTTTCATGAAGTGATCACGTGGAAAACTGTGCTCGCGAAAATCACAACGTGGGGTCACTAAGAAACACGGTCCTCCTTGTCTGCGTTATCAAATCCTTTGCGACGCGTCTGTCGGCTATTGCACCCCATCCACCCTGAACTGGGCGTTCAATATCTGATGTGGCAGAAAAAAGCGTTGAAACTTAACAAGGTGCTCTATTATTGTTGTTCCGCAATTAGATACACCGAAAAAAGCCACTTCTAGTTTACAAAGCTGGAAAGGCTGTTGGTGGACTTTTGGAAAGGACTTCACGCTTCCCACTTGGAATCCTTTCTTCTTGGGCTGGTCCAGAAGTGAATAGCGCCTGCAGCATTTTTGGGTTGCGTAGCAACCCCTTTACATTTGGTAGCACTTTTTTAGGTCGACTCGAATGAACAGTGCACATTTTTGTCATATTCCCAACATCTGAAGCACTAGCTTTAACGTTTTGAGAACGTGTGCTTCAAATGTGTGGAGATGACAGCACTGCTACACAAGAGCCTCCAAAAAAAGTGAAACCAAATGAGACCAATTATTCCATAATCGTCGATAGATACGGCGAATGGAAACAATTGGTAGCAGCCTCGCCATATTTTACGGCACATCACACACAATTGACGAGACAACAAATTCGGCGTGGATGCAAATTACGGATTTGCATCTACCGTATCGAACATGTGCAAAACGACAACAATCAACAACAGCAAATGTCATAAAGTGAATGGCAAAATGCATCAGTGCTACAATAGCGATGGATCCGGTATGCTAAGGCGAGCAACGCTGCCCCAACAACGATCCCCACCTCAATTGCAGACCTGACACACTTTAACATGACACCTTACAACAAACACGAACGAGCACATGCGACATTGTACTGGTACAACGACGACAACGCATAACAATGAGTGTCTTGGGGAGAATGCTAAAATGCATCGATGATGCAACAAAGGTTGGTCTGGCACGCTAAGGCTATTGCCCCACCGGCGATCACAACCTGAGTTGCATACACGAGGCACTTCAGCACACGCCTTGAGACAGACACAAACGATACAAACAACACGACTGCACATGCACACACAGGCTCACACACACACATACACACTGACACGCACGCAAACAAGCACAGATACATACGGATAGTCAACACACAACCATCATGAAATTCAGCTATTAGTAAATCATCACTAGCCAATCACCCCTTACCCTCCCTACACCCCTCCCTTCCTCCCTCCCTCCTTCCTTCCCTCCCTCCCTCCCTCCCTCCCTCCCTCCCTCCCTCCCTCCCTCCCTCCCTCCCTGCCTCCTTGCCTCCCTCCATCCCTCCCTCCGTCCCTCCCTCATCTCCCTCCCATTGCCTCCCTCATCTCCCTTCTCCGCCAAACATAATCAAAGAATGCAGCTTACGAGCCCTGCACAAAGTAAAAACAGAGAATGCAACACGCCCTGCACAAGAAAGCAAAAACAGAGGATGCAACTCATGTGAGGAGGCCAATTAGGAAACAACTCACCCACACTGCATAAGAAAGCAAAAACAAAGAGAGTACACCTCATAGGATTGCACAAGACAAAAGCAGAGAATGCAGCTAACCCACTAGAGACGAAATAAGCACAATGGAAAAAGATGAGCAATCGATTTGACAGCTCACAGAGGTAAATTGGTATTAGTCGTGGCACCACAGATACTACACCAGCATGATGCCATGCCTTGAAGCCACCCTCAAGTTCAACTTCACACTCACGTTCGCACTCAATCTTGTACTCAATCCCGCACCCACTCACACACGCACAAATACTCTCAACTTTCTTAGACACACTCACACAGAAACACACATACAAACCTACACGTTAACTCTTGCACTTACCCTCGCACTCATGATCATTCTCATTCCAATCATACGTTACACGTTACAAATACTTCCACGCGCACGCAAGGACACTCACACGCACCCTTGCACTCACACTCGCACTTGCTCTCGCATTCACCCTAAGACAGTCTCGCTCTCAGCCTTGCACTCACACGCACACCCACTCATCCTCGCACTCACCCTTGAACTACCCTCACACTCGAGCTCACACTCACCCCAAACCCTGCACCATCATATTTACACTCACATTCACTCTCGCACTTGCTCTAACTCTTGCTCTCGTTCTCACCCTCGCACTCACCTAAACACGCACCCTCGTACTTCCTCTCATATTCACCCGCATACACGCACTTGCACGCACCCTCGCACTTACCCTCAAGTACATGCGCGTACTCACACTCGCAGTCACACCCGCTTTCGCACCCGGATACCGCCCTCTCACCCTCACACACTCCCGTACTCACTCTCGCAACCACTCACGGACGCACAATTACTTTCAACCGTTCTTAGACACACCCTCAGAAACACAAACACACACCCTTGCACTCACCCTCGAACTCGCGCACTCACTCGAACACTTTCACACTCACACGCACACACAGTCGCCGGCACGGTGGCACCCTTGAACTCAACTCACACCCACACCCACACACTCGCCCTCGAACTCACCCTCGCACTCACTCTTCTACTTGCCCTCACACACCATCTCACACACCCTCGCACTCACACCCGCGCTCACGCTTGCACTAAACATCGCAGCCACCATCTAACTCACCATCGCACTCACTCTTGCACTCACTCTCGCACTCACTCTTGCACTCAAACACATGTAATGTACTCTCAACTCTTCTTCGACAATCACAGAAACACACACACAAACTCTTGCACTCATCATCGTACTCACCCTAGCACACACTCAAACGGACCCTCGCACTCCCCCTTGCACTAACACACACTCACACTCGTACTCACCCTCAAACTCGCCCTGGCACTCACTCCCACAATTGCTTTCGCACTCACACTCGCGCTTACGCTCGCACCTGCTCTCTCGTTCACACTCGCACTTGCCCTTGCACTCACAACCGCACTCACCCGCAAGTGCACGTGCACATCCAAGTCTCGCCCTCACGTCGCCCGTGCCCAAGCCGCCAGCAAGTGCAAGCGCCCACGGCGCCCGCGCCCACTGCACCAGCGCCTTAGGCGCCAGCACAAACGGCGCTCGCGCCCAAGGCGCCAGAGCCCCCGGCGCAAGCGCCCACAGAGCCAGCGCCTCATGGGGCAGCACCCACGGCGCTCGCGCCCTAAGCGCAAGCACGTTAGGTGCTAGCACCCACGGAGCCCGCGCCAACGGCGCAAGCGCCCACGGCGCCAGCGCCCTAAGCGCAAGCACCTTATGCGCCAGCGCCCATGGCGCAAGAGCCTTAGGCGCAAGCGGCCAAGGCGTCTGCGCCATAAGCGCAAGCGCCTTAGGCGCCAGCAACCACGGCGCTTGCGCCCACGGCCCCAGCGCCCTAAGCGCAAGGGGCTAGGCACAAGCGCCAATAGGGCCCGCGCCGACGGCGCAAGCGCGCACGGCGCTCTCTCTCGCGCCTCTCCCTCTAGTGCTTCCTTAGCTCTCACGCGCGCACTCTCCTGCGCTCTCGCTCCCTCGCGCTCCCTCTCCCCCCTCTTCAAATAGTAGTGCAACGCAAGAGACCAATCAACACACAGAAACTACAAATACGATAGGAAAAATCGGAAATATAGGACCTTTCAGTAGGGGAAGGGAGGAAAAAAGGACAGGGAAAGGTAAACGCACCTGCAATTCACGGTGCAGAGTCAAACCCGCGCTCGCGCACCGGCTCCCACTCGCGCACCAGCTTGCTCGTGACCTGTCGACAGAGTCGGCGGCGGGATGGGAGGGAGAGGCGACGGCGGGATGCGAGGGAGAGGCGACGGCGGGATGGGAGGGAGCGGCGACGGCGGGAGGAGGGAGCGGCGACGGCGGATGGGGGGGAAAGGCGACCGTGTTGCGGAGGGAGAGGCGACGGCGGGGAGGAGGGAGAGGCGACGGCGGGGAGGAGGGAGAGGCGACGGCGGGGAGGAGGGAGAGGCGACGGCGGGGAGGAGGGATGGGCGACGGCGGGGAGGAGGGATGGGCGACGGCGGGGAGGAGGGAGAGGCGACGGCGGGGAGGAGGGAGAGGCGACGGCGGGGAGGAGGGAGAGGCGACGGCGGGGAGGAGGGATGGGCGACGGCGAAGAGGAGGGAGAGGCGACGGCGGGGAGGAGGGATGGGCGACGGCGGGGAGGAGGGAGAGGCGACGGCGGGGAGGAGGGAGAGGCGACGGCGGGGAGGAGGGATGGGCGACTGCAGGGAGGAGGGAGAGGCGACGGCGGGGAGGAGGGATGGGCGACGGCGAGGAGGAGGGAGAGGCGACGGCGGGAGGGAGGGAGAGTCGACGGCGGGAGGAACGGAGAGGCGACGGCGGGAGGGAGGGAGAGGCCTCGGCATAGTGGGAGGGAGAGGGGAAGGGGGGCTGGAATCGAGAGAGGATGGCGGGGTGGGAGGGAGTAGCGATGGAAAGGTGGGTGGGAGGGAGAGGCGATGACGTGGTGGCTGGGAGGGTGAGGCAACAGCTGGTGGGGGAGGAGAAGTGATGACGGGGTGGGAGGGAGTGCCAAACAAGAAACTACAGTAAACGAAAACGTTGGGGCAATCTGAAAGCCAGCACAGAACTTGGGCACTTGGAATTCAAAACAAAAACCAAACGCTGGTGCCACGTGAGAACACACACGGATAATCACGTGAAATTTGTGTGAGCTGGAAAACAGTTCAATTTGAACCACACTTTTGCTAGAGCAAGAACCGGATAGTATAGTGTTACAAAATATACTATTGAGGATATAAAACATAGTTGTTCACTAAATTTTATAAACTACTTATCAAAAAGACACTCAATTGTTCTATTCACCCATGGTTTAGCAATGGAATCATAAACTAACACATTATTTCATAATCAAGAAGTAACTAGACTTGCTATATTCATTAATACATGAAAGTTAAAACTTGGTGCTATATAAATGCATTAAATTGCTTGTCCTCGTGTTTTGTAAAATATGAATGTGACAACTACGCAACCCATCCGACGTTAACGTCGAATCTTGTTGTAGGTCTTTCGGTTCCATCATCCAACTTCGGAACTGCACAGTACGAGGAAGTAGGTGGGAATGAAAGAAAACGACATCGTATTCCACTTGCCAAAAACTCAGTGCCGTACTCAGCTACAGTTCACAACAGCCGGCGATACAGTATCATGACATCCCCAACCCATCCCACCCAGCCCCCGCCGCGAAACACAGTTAGGAGCTCCACAGTCACCCACCAGAACATCTTTCGACCAATTGTGCTCACAATATCTTTACGAGGCCAATTTCTGAAGCAAGGTGTAAACCGAAGAGCTTCTTGCCGGGTACATGTCTCGCCCTTGGAAATCTGTGGTCATGTCGTAGCCCCTTGGCGCCACAAATGCCGCAATAACCTGGATAGCGACCTCCTGCGAATTCCATGCGTAGCAAGCAACTCTGTTTCGCAACTGAGCTAGCTCGTGAATGCCATAAACACCGTCGTGTTAGCACGCGTCGCACGATAGCTCGTTTCCTGTCGCTTCAACTTCGCGAAAGTTGCACGCGGATTAGTTCCTTCCGCGTTTCTTGCTAGCCCGTTTTCCCATCCTCAAATAACGCTGTGACTATGATGGGCTCGTCATTGCAGCAGAGCTCGCAAAGTCACGTCGAGCGCGACCCGTTACAGTCACATCGGGAAATCGAGGCGCTCCGATGCGTGCTCCCGTGGCTGCCGCAGCGCGACCTGTGCGCGGCGGCGTGCGCGTGCAGGGATCTAAGAACCGCCGCGTATCAACCCGCGTTGTGGAAGGTATTAATGGTCTTAATTCAACCTTTAAAATTGCTTCTGTGATAAGCAAACTCGACAGGCGCTGATTCTTGAGAATCTCGAAAGATCGGTCGCGATAATTAATAATCGTGACAGGCGTTGATTCGCGTCGTATGGGCGTAATCAAATTATCAATCGGGTATGGTCAGAGCTTGATGCGCACGGCCTCTGATGCGGATCCTCCCCTCACTACGGCCTCTCTCCAGTCTCTGCCGTCTCCCTCCTCTCTGCGCTCTCCGCCATCTCCGCAGTCTCCGCCGTCTCCGACGCCTTCGCCAGCTCCCCCTCTCCGTTCTCTCCGCAGTCTCTCTTCTCCCTTACGACCTCACCCCGTTCTGAACCCTCTCCCCGTTAAACCCTCGCTCTGCCTCCCCTGCCCTCCTCCCCGTCACCCCTCCCTCTGCGGCAGTCTCTTTCCCTGCAAGGCGCCACTAACGCCAGTGCCAGGCTCGCTCACGCGCTTCCGCAGGTGTGTGTCGGGTTGGGGGTTGGGGGGAATGGTCCGATGGGGGTGGGAGGGGGGAAAAGGGGAAGGGGTACGAGGCGCCCTGCAAGGCGTCACTAACGCCAGTGCCAGGCTCGCTCAGGCGCTTCCGCAGGTGTGTGTGGGGTTGGGGGTTGGGGGGAATGGTCCGATGGGGGTGGGAGGGGGGAAAGGGGGAAGGGGTACGAGGCGCCCTGCAAGGCGCCACTAGCGCCAGTGCCAGGCTCGCTCAGGCGCTTCCGCAGGTGTGTGTGGGGTTGGGGGTTGGGGGGAATGGTCCGATGGGGGTGGGAGGGGGGAAAGGGGGAAGGGGTACGAGGCGCCCTGCAAGGCGCCACTAGCGCCAGTGCCAGGCTCGCTCAGGCGCTTCCGCAGGTGGGCTGGCAGGGGGGGGGGGGTCTGTGTGGGGGGAGCGTGGGGTGGGGACGACTTTCGAGGCGCCACTAACGCCAGTGCCAGGCTCGCTCAGGCAATTCCGCAAGTGGGCTGGCAGGGGGAGGGGTCTATTGGAGTGGAGGGGGTTGTGCAGAAAGGGAGGTTGAAGGTGATGGGGAGGGGGATGGGGGAGGTTGCGCTTGGGGAAAGGGTTGGGGGATGGGGGAGGAGTGCACGGGGGGTGGAGGGGAGGGGAAAGGTCCCGGGGGCTGGTTGGGTTTGGGCAGGGGGGGGGAACTTTCCCCTCAAGCTGTTTAAACTGTAGCTTGCTCCCCTCTGCCTCCCCTCTCTCGCTCCTCCCTCTGTCCCGCTTGATCCCCCAGCCTCGTCTCTCTCTCTCTCTCTCTCTCTCTCTCTCTCTCTCTCTCTCTCTCTCTCTCTCTCTCTCTCTCTCTCTCTCTCTCACCTGAAGCAAAGCAATCTAAATATAGCCCAGCCAATCACCGACACAACTGTTGAGGAGCCTTGCATCATTAATCTCTTCTCCCTCTGCCCCTCGGTTTTGTTCCGGCCCTCCGTCTCTTGCTCTGCCACTGCTCTCCCCTCTTGATCCCCCAGCCTCGTTTCTCTCACCTGCAGCATCTCAATCTGGAGTTCGCCCAGCCAATCACGGACGCGGATCTGCTGCTGCTGGAGGGGAAGGTGCGTGGGTGGGGGGTGGCAGGTGGTGGGTGGGGATCGGGGGTGGGGGTGGTGGTGGTGGGTGGTGGTGGGTGGGGGAGGAAGTGTGTGGCTTTTGAAATTCCGTACAAGTGTGTGAGTCCATGGGCACACACACGGATATTGTGAGTCCCATATCCGAAGCCACACACGTCTCAAATGGATCTTTTGCTGCCAGTAACTCACTCACCAAAAGGTCACCACTCACAACATTTCCCACACTTCCCACTCCCCTCTCTCCATATCCCGCTACCCCACCCGCGCCCCTCCTCTCCCCTCCAGCAGCTCGTGTCTCTCAAATTCACCCCTCCGCTTCCTTCCCCTCTTCCGCTTCCCCTCCCTTCCTCAGCCACTCGTGTCTCTCAATCTCAACTCCTGCCAGCAAGTCACGGACCAAGGGGTCACCACTGCTTTCAATTCAACCTCTTCCCTTCTTTCACCCTCCCTCTTTCCCCCCTACCCACACCTCCTCCCAGCCCATCGTGTCTCTCAATCTCAACGCCTCCCAGCAAGTCACGGACCAAGGGGTCACCACTGCTTTCAATTCAACCTCTTCCCTTCTTTCACCCTCCCTCTTTCCCCCCTACCCACACCTCCTCCCAGCCCATCGTGTCTCTCAATCTCAACGCCTCCCAGCAAGTCACGGACCAAGGGGTCACCACTGCTTTCAATTCAACCTCTTCCCTTCTTTCACCCTCCCTCTTTCCCCCCTACCCACACCTCCTCCCAGCCCATCGTGTCTCTCAATCTCAACGCCTCCCAGCAAGTCACGGACCAAGGGGTCACCACTGCTTTCAATTCAACCTCTTCCCTTCTTTCACCCTCCCTCTTTCCCCCCTACCCACACCTCCTCCCAGCCCATCGTGTCTCTCAATCTCAACGCCTGCCAGCAAGTCACGGACCAAGGGGTCACCACAGCTGCAAAGCTGCTCCCTAACCTCCGCTCCTTCTCGCTCTACTGGAATCTCAAGTGAGTTCTTCCTCCCACCCTCCCCTCTCCCTCCCTCTCGCCCTCCTTCCATCAGTACCACCTTCTGTCTCCCCTTCTCTTTCTCTCAAATGTCCCCTTGTCCCTTCTCACTCCTGTCCCCCTCTGTCCTTTTCCCTTTCTCCCTCCTCTCTGCCAGAGTGACGGATTCAGGGGTCAAGCAAGTGGTGATGCAATGCTCCTCGTGTTCCCATGCCCACATGCCCCCGTGCCTTTGCTCTCCTCCCTCCCCTTCCCCCTTCCCCCGTCCCCCTTCCCCCCTCACCTTTCCCCTGCCAGAGTGACGGATTCAGGGGTGAAGCAAGTGGTGCTGCGATGCTCCTCGTTACAGTCACTCAACCTTAGCGGATGCAAGGTAACCCACACTCGCTCACTCTCACTCGTTCATAATCTCACCCACTCACTCTCTCAGTCTCTCCCTCACTCACTCACTCACTCACTCACTCACACTTTCTCACTCTCTCTGTCTTCCCCGCAATCCCTCAGTAACCAAACCATCTTCACTACCACAATTCACCACCACCACCCTTCTCCACCCATCTTCACCACTACAGAACATCACCGACACATCACTTCGTTTCATCGCCAATTCGCTTCCGAACCTCAAGTCTCTCAACCTCACGCGGTGCGTTCTTGCAATAACTCTCCAAATCATAATCAAAATGTCGTCTTCTGGCCCATACCTGAAGGTATGGGCCAGCAGGTGTGTGAGAGCAACCAAAATTGACATTAAGCACCTCAAGGTATAACCCCGAGGTATGGGTCACTGTGATGTAAATCACTTGGAGAATTCTCAAAAGCACATTACAGCAGGAACAGTTGCTGCTTAGTTGTTGTAGGAACACTCTTTTGTGTCTCAAACAATCTCCACCCATCCATCCTTCCAGCACCCCATCACTCCGCTCTCTGTGCACGTGTCCATGCACGTGTCCATGCACGTGTCCCTGCAGGTGTGTGAAGGCGACAGACACGGGTCTAAAGCACATCACAGCGGGGTGCTCCCATTTGGAAGAGCTGTTACTCTACGCACTCTCCAGGTGACTTTTGAGTCGACTTAACAGTCACTGGCTCCCTGTGTACATACGTGCATGCGCTCGTGAGCGAGTGTGAGAGCGACCGACGTGGGTCTAAAGCACATCACAGCGGGGTGCTCCCACTTGGAAGAGCTGCTTCTTTACGCTCTCTCCAGGTGACTTTATGCGGGATACAAATATGTATGGTTCACTTTTGAGAATTCTCTAAATTGATCCCAATATAGTGCACTCTCCAGGTGACTTTTGGGGTGGATTCAAGTTCCGTGCGTGCATGAGTGCGTGCGTCCGTGCGTGCATGAGTGCATGCGTGCGTGCATGTGTGCGTGCATGTGTGCGTGCATGTGTGCGTGCATGTGTGCGTGCATGTGTGCGTGCATGTGTGCGTGCATGCGTGCGCGCGCGCTTGCTTCCCCCCCTCCTCCCTCCACCCACTAGCCCTCGCTTCACAGGCGAGTCCCCGGCAACCATTGGCAAACTATCCCACCTGCGAATGCTTCAGCTGTGCGCCTCGTTCCTTCACTCCCTCACGCCCCTCACTCCTCTCAACCCCTCTCCACCCACCAGCTTCACAGACGACTCCCTGGCAACCATTGGCAAGCTATCCCACCTGCGAGTGCTTGATCTGTGTGGCATGAAGGTATGAAGGTTGAAGCTGGGTACTGAATAAGTATTTTTTGCAGCATGAATATAAGCGGCACAAACGTCTCCCTTTTGGCACACCTCTCTCTTTTACCAACGACAAGAGCAGAGCATAGCAGCATTGAATTCATCGCTCCCCTTTTGCACACCTATCTCTTTTCTCCTTTCTCTCCACGTCGCATCCCTCTCCAACCATCAGCATCTGACAGACGTGGGACTGGAGGGAATTGCAAGCTGCTCTAACCTCGTATCACTGAACCTCTCATGGTATGCTGCTTGTAGTGTGTTGCTTATGGTTTTTGTTGCCTATTTATGTTAGTGGGTCGATTGTAATGCTCTGTCTTCAAAAGATTGCTGCTCACATATCCGTCAACCTCTCTTGGTATGCTGCTCTAATGCCCTGCCTTCTTTTCTGTTGCTTCTAGCTTGCTTTGTAAAGTGCAGCCGCTTGTGGTGCGCTTCTTATTATGCGCTCTTTCTGCTTGATATGTACCCCAGGTGTGTGCTTATAACGGATCAAGGCCTCATCAAAGTGGCAACCTCCTGCCATCATCTCGAGCTTTTAAGGTATGTTTTTCTGAGTAATTTGCTAAAACACTTACACGCGTCTCGTTTTGGGGACACAAAGGGTCCCACGCCTGCCAGTCACTCCATATGCACCCCCCTCTCCCCTCACCCCACTCCCGCATCCCCCTTCACCCCTCACCTCCCTCCCCCCTCACCCTCCTCCCCACCCACACATCCACACATCTCGCTTTTAGGACACAACGCCCCCCAGTCACTCCATACACATACTCCCCCACTTTCCCTCCTCACCCTCCCCCCTCCGTGCTCCCTTCCCCCTCCTCTCCCAGTCTGCACGGGGTCACAGATGCGGCCATGGCTGCCCTCTCTGCTTCTTGTCATACCTTTCCATTTGACAAAACCCCATTCTCTCCCTCTCCTTCTGCCCCCTCCCTTCCATACGCGCTTCCCTCCCCCGTCCCTCCCAGTCTGCATGGTATAAGAGGGGTCACACATGCGGCCATGGCTGCCCTCTCTGCCTCCCCTCTCATTCTTCACATCCCCTTCCTCTCCTCCCTCCCCCCCCCCCCCCCCCCATGCATATTCCTCCCTTATCTCCCAGTCTGCACGGCATAAGAGGGGTCACACATGTGGCCATGGCTGCCCTCTCTGCCTCTTGCCATTCTTCCCTGCACACATTTGATGTCAATGGGTGCGTTGGAATAAAGGTAAGATTCCAATTTGTCTATGCCCACACCCGTCGTAACATGTGTGCGTCTTTGTTGCCCTTGTTTCGTTATAAGCAGTTTCGCTGATTGTACAACCAACTTCTGGTGTCAATACCTTTGCTCTCTTGTGCAGGATCGTTCTCACGACCATCTGAAGCTGCTTTTTCCGCACCTCACGTGTTTCACTGTTCATAAATAGAGATGCTACATCAAGTTGCAAGTATTGTGTCATTAGATCGCAAGGCACGTGCTCCAGAGTCAAGAGTCTCGAGCATGCGTGGCAGCATCTGTGTGATACGTGTTTTGAGTGTCAAACTGTTATAATGTTTATATTGTGTAGACTGTAGTGGGGTGGGTAGTCCATAAGAGGTACAACCCAATTAGGGTTAGTACTTGTACCAACAATCTTCTCAATGCAATCATTCTCGTTCAGTATTCTGACATGGTTTCAGAGCGGGTCCTGTTCCAGGACCGTTTTTTTTTATGGCCCACTGAATAGTTCCCTGCCCGTAGCACGTCACCCTGCTCGTAGCGCCCTACACTGCCCGTCGCGCTGCCCCACCAATCGTGCTGCCTTGCCCTGCCCGTCGCGCCGCCCTGCTGGCCGCGCGCTGCCCTGCTAACTGCCGCGCCGCCCTGCCCTGCCCGTCGCGCCGCCCTGCTGGCTGCCGCGCCGCCCTGCCCTGCCTTTCGCGCCGCCCTACTGGCCGCGCGCTGCCCTGCCCTACCCGCGCGCCGCCCTTCCCTGCCCGCGCGCCGCCCTGCTAGCCGCCGCCCTGCTAACCGCCGCCCTGCCCTGCCCTGCCCGCGCGCCGCCCTGCCCTGCCCGCGCGCCGCCTTTCTGGCCGCCGCGCCGCCCTTTGCAGCCCGTGCGCCGCCCTGCTGGCAGCGCACCGCCCCTTTCCTGCCCACGCGCAGCCCTACTCGCCGCGCGCCGCCCTGCCCTGCCCGCGCGCCGCCCTGCTAGCCGCGAGCCGCCATTTCCTGCCCGCGCACTGCCCTGCCCTGCCCCCGCGCCGCCCTGCTGGCCGCTGTGCTGCCCTGCTAGCCGCTGTGCTGCCTTGCCCTGCCCTACGCGCCGCCCTGTCTTGGCCGTGCGCCGCCCTGCCCTGCCCTGAGCGTCTTCCTAGTGCACGCGCACCGCCCTGCTCGTCACGCGCCACTCTGCTCTGCCCGCTATGGCTACTCTCAGCGTTCTCACATTCGATCCTGAGAGCCGTCCGATCCAGTTCAATGCGTGGCTAGATGACTTACAGCTGTACCTACTAAGCGATTCTAGAGATAGCGTTTCGTTGTTTGACCACACGTCCGGAGCCTCTCTCGCCCCACCCGACACAGCTGACAGTGCGACTCGCTCACAGTGGCTTACTCGTGATGCTGCTGCTCACTTAGCCATTCGCAACCATCTGTTGTTAGCCGAACGCGCTCGCTTTGGTCGGCACAAGACTGCTGAAGCTCTGTACGACGCTGTAGTCGCTCGTTACTCTTCCCCTGCCACTGCTGCTCTCGGCCACCTTATACTGACCTACACTTTTCCCGAGCTGTCAGCCTTTGCCACAAGCGAGGACCTCATCACCCACCTTTGCACTAGCGACACTCGCTACCGCGCTGCCCTCAAAGTCGAGTTCCTAGACAAGAACCCGCCCTTGATGTACATCACTCTCTACTTCATAGTCACCCGCCTCCCAGACTCTCTTTGCGCTGTCAAGACCACTTTCTCGCACTTGACCCCACATACCTCACTGTCGACCTGCTCGAGCAGCACCTCCTTGCAACTGAGACTAGCGTAGTCGCTGTAGGTGCTGCTCGTGGCACTCCTCGCACACCTTTCTTTGAGGGGTGTTCCCCCTCCCCCCTTGCCCCCTCCTACGCTTCTGCTACTACTGTTGACATCCTTGGTGCTCAGGATGTCGGGGCTGCTTCTGCTCTTAGTGGGAAGCGCCGCAGCAGCAAGGGCAAGGGAGGCAAGAGTGGTGGAGGTGGCAGCGGGGGTGGCGGTGGTGGAGGCGGTGGAGGCGGTGGAGGTGGCGGAGGTGGCGGTGGGAGTGGTGGCGGGAGTGGGGGCTTCGGTGGCGGCGGTGGTGGCAGCGGTGGGAGTGGTGATGGCGGTGGTGGCGGCAGTGGGAGTGGTGGCTGGAGCAGTGGTGGTGGTCGGGGTGGAGCTGTTCAGGAAGGAGGTTCTGGCGATGGCTAGAGGCAGCAGCAGCAGCGTCCGAGCGAGACCTCTACGCCCCAGCAGCTTCGTGAGTGTTTTGCTCAGCGTGGGGCGTCTGGGGGTAGTGTTCGCTGCCCGTATGTCAATCGCATAGGTGACAGCGCTGATAAGACATGCGGGAAGTTTCACACACAGCACCGCTGCTTCTCCCGCCTTGACGACGCTTGGCGCGCAGAGTTTGGCGACGAGGCTGAGCGCCCCCGCTCGTTAGAGCTGCTTAAGTCTGGTGTTGATATCTTTGCTCTTGACTATGATGTTATCCTTGCTGCCATGTATGCCTTGACTGCTAGTGCGGAGGGTGACTGTTACCTGTGTGTGCCGCCCGACCCAGGTATAGAGGCTGCTGCTCTAGGTGCTAGTGAGTCTGCTCTCCCTGGTACTGCGCCTGCTGAGGCCTTGCACACCTTCACGCTTTACTCAGGTGCTTCCCGCTGTTTCTTTCAAGACATTACCACACTCACTCCACTCCCTGCACCTATTCCAGTCAGACTGGCTGACCCCTCAGGGGCCCCAGTTCTTGCACGTTCCTCCACTGTTCTCCCGTGTCCGGCGGTTCCGTCCGGCTCACTCTCAGGTCTTGACCACCCCTCGTTCTCTACGAACTTGGTGAGTACCACTGCCCTCCAGGATGCGATGGTCACTACCACCACTCCTGGGGGTCAGCGTGTGTCGATCTGCACGTGTACACGGACGGGCCGTCACCTGGCCATGTTCACCCGTCGGCCTGGGTCGAGTCTGCACACACTGACTACTGAGCCTCCTCAGGTAGCTGCGTCTGCTCAGGTGTCCACGTCGGTTCCGGTAGCAGCCCCCTGCCCATGTCGCCTCTTGTCGCACCAGACTCTTCTGTGGCACCACCGCCTTGGTCACCCCTCCCTGCCACGCCTTCGTGGCATGCACTCCCGCCTCCTTGTTTCTGGTCTTCCCAGGTCTCTGCCTCCCCTCCCGCCCTCGCCTTCTCTGCCCTGCCTTCCTTGCCTCGAGGGGCGGCAGCACGCCGCTCCTCACTCCTCCTCGTTTCCCCCGACGACTGCTCCCCTGGAGACTCTCCACATGGACGTGTGGGGCCCAGCCCGTGTCAGTGGACAGGACCGCGAGCGCTACTTTCTGCTGGTTGTTGACGACTACACGCGTTACACCACGGTCTTCCCCTTGCGCAGCAAGGGTGAGGTCATTGATGTCTTGATCCCTTGGATCCGCACAGTCCGTCTCCAGCTCCGCGAGCGGTTTCGCGAGGACCTTCCTGTCCTGCGTCTGCACTCTGGCCGAGGTGGTGAGTTCTCTGACCTCTTACGACACTTTTGTCGTGGGGAGGGCATTCTCCAGTCGTTCATGCTTCCACCCTCCCCGCAGCAAAATGGGGTTGCTGAGCGCCGCATTGGCTTAGTCATGGAGGTCGCTCGTACCTCCATGATCCATGCGGCTGCTCCCCATTTTCTGTGGCCGTTTGCGGTCCGGTATGCTGCGCATCAGCTCAACCTCTAGCCCCGTGTCTCCTTGCCGGAGACCTCGCCCACACTGCGTTGGACGGGGAAGGTTAGCGATGCGTCGGTGTTCCGGGTCTGGGGCTCTCTTGTCTTTGTCCGCGATACTTCCGCGGACAAGCTCTCCTCCCGCGTTATTCCCTATGTCTTCCTTGGCTTTCCCCCTGACACGCCTGGCTGGCAGTTTTACCATCCCACCTCGCGCCGTGTCTTGTCCTCTCAGGATGTCACGTTTGATTAGTCGGTTCCCTTTTACCGTCTCTTCCCCTACTGCACTGCCCCTCTCCCCCCCCTCCCCGCCGCTCTTCCTCGCTCCAGGTCCCCCTCCGGTAGACCCCCTCCCCCCTCAGGGTCCTGCTCCCTCAGGTGTGTCTCAGGTAGTCCCACTCCCCCTGGCTGAGCCTGTTGAGGTCACTGTCGACTCTGGTGCTGCTGGGGGTGGTGCTGCTAGGGGTGCTGCGTCTGGGGGTGCTGAGCCTGCGAGTGTGGAGCCTGGGGGTTCTGAGACTGAGGGTGCGGAGCCTGGGGGTGCTGAGTCTGAGGGTGCAGAGTCTGGGGGTGCTGAGCCTAGGGGTACTGCGTCTGCCGGAGGTCTTGTGGGTGCCTCGCCACGACAATCTCGCCGGCGGGAGCCTCTCTAACCGCGGCAGCTGCGAGAGTGGTTTGCTCGGCACACACGCCTTAAGAGTGGCGCTATAGGAGATGGAGGCCCTGCCGCTGGAGGCACTGGAGCTGGAGGTGCTGGAGCTACTAGTCCTGGAGGTGCTGGAGTTACTGCTAGAGCTGGAGGTACCGGAGGTGCTGGAGCTGCTGGTCCTGGAGGTGCTTGTACTAGAGGTACTGGAGCTGCCGGAGCTGGTGGTGTTGGAGGTGCTGGAGCTGGAGACCCTGGAGCTGGAGGCACTAGAGCTGGAGGCGCTGGTGCTGGAGGCACTAGATCTGGAGACCCTGGAGCTGGAGGCACTGGAGCTGGAGACCCTGGAGCTGGAGGCGCTGGCGCTGGAGGCGCTGGAGCTGGAGGAGCTGGAGCTGGAGGCGCTGGAGCTGGAGGAGCTGGAGCTAGAGGCACTGGAGCTGGAGACCCTGGAGCTGGATGCATTGGAGCTGGAGGCGCTGGAGCTGGAGACCCTGGAGCTGGAGGCACTGGAGCTGGAGGCGCTGGAGCTGGAGGCGCTGGAGCTGGAGGCGCTGGCGCTGGAGGTGCTAGAGCTGGAGGAGCTGGATCTGGAGGCACTGGAGATGGAGGCGCTGGAGCTGGTTACCCTGGAGCTGGAGGTGCTGGCGCTGGGGGTGTTGGAGCTGGCGGTACTGGTACTGGAGGCACTGTGCAGCGGCGACCGATTTTCGTTCCGCCGCCGCCGTCGTCTCTGCCGCCACCTGGCTCGGTCCGTCGCCAGGTTCTACTGGCCTTAATCCTCGCTTACTGTGTCCACCGCCTCACCAATCGCAGCCACAGTTACAGTCAGACTCCCCACTGCCTGCTCCTTCTCCTTACGTTGAGCAGACAGACTCTCTTACAGAGCGTCGTGAGCCTGAGTCTCGTCCTGCCTCGCCTGTTTGCGCTGTTTGCACTGGTTGTCGTGTTCCTCGTCCGCGTCCTCCTCCTGTCCCCGGCACTCATATTATGGCACTTCGTCCTTCCTCTGTTCCGCTGCGAGTTCCCCTGCCGTCTCCTCCTGTGTCCTCTCTTGCTAACGGTCCGGACCCTGAGTCTGACTTAGTTCGTGCTGCCAGTCCTACTGTCACACGTCTTCTAGCCACTATTGTCACTGACCCTTCGTTTGAGTCCGCTGCTGCGTCTGCCCTAGTTTCTGAGCTTGTTGACTTTGCTGCTGCCTGTCGTCTTGACTACGCTGCTAGTCTTGTTGCTGAGTCTGAGTCTGACTGTGCTCCATCCGTCGGGGGTGAGTGTTCTCTTGGCATGGACGTCCTTGAGGACAGGTAGGAGGACTTTGAGTGCCTTGCAGCTGCTGTACCTCATATCGTGGTCATGCTGCTTGCACCTGAGGGAGACACGGATGCACCAGACATCCCGACCTCGTGCTCTTACGCAGAGGCGATTACGGGTTCCTACTCCTCTTAATGGCAGACAGCCATGGACGATGGCATCGTGGAAGTCCACAGGCACCTACGTCGATGCAGGAGCACAGACTGGAGCACAGACTGGAGCACATGACAAAGCACATCGCTCTGCGTTACTTCCTTGTTCAAGAGTTGCAGCAACGTGGTCAGCTTCGTCTTGCTTACGTGGCCACTCGGGCCAACACTACTGATATATTCACCAAGGCACTTCAGCCTGGTGATCATCAGCGTTTCTGTACTGTTTTAGGCCTTGTGCCTACTTTGCCTCACTTGCTCACTGCGTGACTTTCCTTGTACTGTGATCTATATACATATACCTGCATGCTTACCTCTGCTAGGCTATGATCACTGTACTGTTAGTTCTCGTTTATATAGTTCTGCATGTGAACTGGCCTTGTGGCCATTTGCTTGTGCTCGGAATGTGTGGTGACTTTGTTATCCACCCTGAGCTTGCTTTGCTTTTTTCTTGACTGGTCTTGTGACCCCCTGTTCTCCCCCACTTTGCCTATAAGGGGTACAACCCAATTAGGGTTAGTATTTGTATCAACGTTCTTCTCAATGCAATCATTCTCGTTCAGTTTCTGACATTGAGACGTCTCAAAAAAAAATATTGAGGTCATACATGGCAGCATGTGTGTGATACCCTTGTGCTGACAAGAAGAGGGGTGATGCCCTTGAACGGCACCTGTAGCGTCGGAATTTGCAACAATCTGTACAAATTCTCGGCTCATATGAAAGTGCACCTTGACGTAGTGGTGCTTTATTTGGGATGAGAGGCTCAAACAGCTTAAGGCCTTGTATTTATCAATACACTTTATCGATACACTCATTGTCCACCCATACGTGAAGCTTGGGTTGGAAGGAGGATAGAGGTGAGCCTAAATTGAGTCTACATCACCTCAATAAAGGAGAGTGCATGACATGATGCAAGGTGGTAAGGTTTGTAAGTCAATATACCCTGTACATTCGGTTCGTGCTCTGCTCAATTTTATCAATTCTGGGCTCGTACGATAACACCGACTCGGGTTATTGTAAAACTCCAAAGCCGTAAAGCACTGCCACACTGGTGAGTATTTCCATTCAAACCCATACATGTACTAATACGAGCATCTCAGAGCATTCAATTCTACAGAATCCAGTCATTCATTGTAACAAACAGCCACAGAAATCATCTGACCTCCCACCCAACAATCACCAGCCAACATTGAGACGTCTCAAAATACAAAATGCTTCTCGGGTGGTATAGCGCGTACCCACGTGAGACGTTTCAAAATACAAAATGCCTCTCGGGTGGTGAAGCGCGTTACGCGTACCCATCTCTCCTCCCTCCCTCCTCCGCTCAGACCCCCTCCCAAAAACACAGCTTATAGTACCCCTGCTCGCCCCACGCCTCGCCCTCAGTCTCTGCACGCCCTTTACTCAGTCGCTACCCCTGCCTCAGGCTTCACAGCCACCACCGCCGAGACATAAGAGTCAATCCCGCACTCGTCCTTACCCCGGCACAGCTTATAGTACCCCTGCTCGCCCCACGCCTCGCCCCAGCTGTTCTTGATCACCCAGTAGTCCTTGTAGCGCAGGCGGGCAGGGGAGAACCCGTGTGAACCGTACCCCACCATGAGCACCCCGTGGTTCAGGGCGTGGCGGTTGCAGAGCAGAGGGCAGGACACGCCTTTCACGTATGACTGCATCCAGTTGGCATTGAGAGCAACTGAAAGGGTAGAAGTGGGGAAGGGAACGGGGGAAGGAAGCAGGGGGATATTGAGAACCCGTGTGACTCATACCCCACCATGTACACCCCGTGGTTCAACACATGGCGGTTGCAGAGCAGAGAGCAGGAAGCACCTTTGACATACGAACACGCATTTCAGTGGGACTTCAGTGACAACAATGCAAACAAAAGAATTTCTAATGATCTTGGATGCTTTTGCGTACTACAAGGTATTACAATGTTAAATGCATTGGAAATCCATTTGATATCATGCCACAACACACGTGCATCACGATCAACAATCAAAGAGTGAGTACAATATATTTGAATCCATGAAAGTGGATGTTTCGTATTGTACATCTGAAATACACGAAACAACGACTCACATGGGTTTGAACAGAGTGTACTCACCACTTGAATGTTGATCCTGATGCACGTATGTTCTGACATGATATCTAGCGGTTCCCAATGCACTTAACGTTGTATCACCTTGAGTTTTTATACGCAAGAGCATCCAAATCTTTAGATTTTTTTTCTTTTCCATTGCATTGTGATTAAAAGTGGACGCCGTACCCCACCATCAACAACCCGTGATTCAAGCCATGGTGGTTGCAGAGGAGAGGGCAGGACACGCCCTTCACATACTTCCCGCATACCTCCACACACCCCCCTCACACACAACCAACCAGCTCATCTGCGAGAGGGCCGTGACCAGGTGAGTTGCATCTGATAGTGCTATTGAGGCGCATGAACAAACGACTCAACCCTTGCTACTGCTTAACTGCCCCTCGAAGTTACAGTCACCCCCCTCACACACCACACACCAAGAGACTCTGCTCGCCTCTCCCTCACCTGCGAGCAGCCCGTATTTGACCAGGTGTGCCTGCATCTGATCGTCGTTCTGAGGCACTTCCACAGACGACTCCACTCTCGCTGCTCCCTGCCTGCTTGACCACTCTCTCACACTGGTAGGAGAAGGCTCAAACAGAAAACAATGCTCTCACCTGCGAGCGGGCCGTATTTGACCAAGTGAGCCTGCATCTGATCGTCCTTCTGAGGCACCTCCACAAACGACTCCACCCTCGCTGCCACCCGCCCTGCATCAAACTGGCAGCGCCCCTCCCTGCCCGTGTATCCATACTCCTGCTCCGTCTGCAGCCCCCCGGCCTTCTGGATGTAGCGAAACACGTTGTTCATCAGCCCGCCGCCGCACCCAGAGTCACACGCTTCTTTCTGCTTGGGGTCGCACTGGAACAAGGGAACAGGAAAAGGAGAAATCGGACAAGGGAGAAACGGGAAGGGCACGGGTTGGGGGCGGAGGGGGGAGGGAAGCGAAGGGGAAGGAGAGGGGGGACAGAGGTGAAGGTTTGTTTGGCGGACTGGCAGCGCCCCTCCCTGCCCGTGTATCCATACTCCTGCTCTGTCTGCAGCCCCCCGGCCTTCTGGATGTAGCGAAACACGTTGGTCATCAGCCCGCCGCCACACCCGGAGTCACACGCCTCCTTCTCCTTAGGGTCGCACTGAGGAGAAGCGGGAAGAGAGGGAGGGAGGGGGAAGAAGCGGGTAGCACATGGAACACATTACTTATACTCTTGTTCAGTTTGCAGGGTGAAACATGCATAAAGGGGGGTGCGAAGGTGCCAGTCACCCCTTGTTGCTCATGCGGCACCGCACTCGGAATAGCACCATGAAAGAGTGAATCGGTAACTACTGACTGCTCTGATCGCACGATCACGTTATGGTCACTCACGGTACAGTCACATGCTGTCACTGCCACTCACGTTATGGCCACAGTCGACGATTGCTGCTCGCTCAGGCTGATGAGCTCGCCCGTCGCCAAATAGTGCGTCCCCCTCCAACGCTAGCTTGCTCTGCTTGCCCCTCATGCTACCACTCTCGTTACAGTCACATGCTGCCACTGCCACTCACGTTATGGTCACAGTCGACGATCTGCTGCTCGCTCAGGCTGATGAGCTTGCCCGTCGCCAGATAGTGCGCGCCCTCCAACGCGCCCACCGCGCTGAACGCGTAGCACGACCCGCACATGCCCTGGGGGGAGGAGGCGGGGAGGAGGCGGGGAGGAGGCGGGAGAAGGAGGGAAACGATTGGGGAGTGGGGAGATGCAGCAGGGGGGGACAGAATTGAAAGAGAGATTGAAGATAGTGCGCGGCCTCCAACGCGCCCATGGGGCTGAACGCGTAGCACGATCCGCACATGTCCTGGCGAAGGCAGGGGGACGAGGGCGGGATAAGGGGGGGAAGGAAGGGGGTGGGTTCAACAAGTGCGGAGAGGGGAGGTGGGGCAGGAGGGGCCATAATTAGCAGAGGGGTTGCAGGTAGTGAGCGCCTTCCAACGCGCCCATGGCGCTGAACGCGTAGCATGACGCGCACATGCTCTGAAGGAGACGGGGGACAATCGGGAAAGGGAGATGCAGCAGGAGGTAACGGTAGCAGAAGACTTCAAAAGACAGAGAGGAAAAAAAAAAAAAAAAAAAAAAAAAAAAAAAAACACGCCTAACTCCTTCACCTGCTTCATCCCAATCCACATCCCTCAACCCTCACCTGGTTCTTAACGCCCGTCACCGCGCCCTTCTCGCGCCAGTCGAAATGCTCCGGAAGGTCCCCCGTCGGCAGCTCGGACCGCTCCAGCCGTCCCTCCGCTTTCAGGCTCTCCAGAAGCGCGCTGCGCGCCGATCGCGCGGAATCAACGGGCAGCAGGCCGAGATGCGTCTTGGAGAATTCCTCCGGGGTTAGATCGGAGAAGGGAGTCACGCCGTGCTCCGCGGAGGGATCCTGCAACTGGATCTGCGCCGCGCGGAGGAGGTTCGCGCGGAAGATGCGCAGGCGCGCGCGGTACTGGCGGAGATCCGCCGCGTACGACTTATTGAAACGGTGGATGAAACGCGCGAAGTGTTCCGCCGGGTTGCGCAGCGCGCCGAGCAGCGGATGGCTGGCGGGAAGCTTGGAAAGGAGATGATTCACCTCCGTAGATCCCAAGATATTATCCGCGGCATCATTGACGATCAAAGAGAAAACGCAAGGACAGCAGGAGTGGCAAGCAAGCAGGAGGAGGCAAGGAATGTCACAGCAAGATGGAACAAGCAACAATCAGCAATCCTGGAATGAGAAATGACCTTTTGCGTGCTTGAGAAGAGGAAGGCAAAGTCCAGAAAAAAGGGACGTGGGGCGGAGGAGAGTACATGGACGGAAAAGATGGATACTGCGGAATTACAGGGAATTTCACCCTAGTAGTTCCACCCTTTTAACCAAGTATTTCTGCTTTCGAAACTCTAACAAGGTGCAGAACTTTGACGTTCAGAACAGTTGCAAAGCTAAACCAAATGTTTGGCTACTGATGCTCCACTACAGTTATGATTTTCCGAAATTGTCACCTGAGAAAGATGCATTCGACTGACGCGACTGACCCGATCCATGACGTGTTATCAACGAAGCGCTTGCCGACACGTCGCCACGTGGGTTGACCCTGCTGAGCCGACCAATTCAGTCCAGCAGCTTGTCAGAATGCACTGCACTACGAAATGCATTATAAGGGATTTATTAACCTTCCTAATTAGATCACCTATTCATAACAGGGTGCTAAAATTAGTATAAATAAACCAGATGGCAGATCCTACCCAGACTACACAAGATACACGCTCCCGTGCAGCTCCACCCAGATGCCCCTAACCAACTGTCACAATACTTTGTGCTGGCCTTCAAGACGAGGGTAGTCATCCAATGACCCCAGAGACCCGCAACTTGAAATTGGCGATATGCTAATAAGAGAGACTTTTCGGCACCCCATGCCTCTGCTCTTGAAGACCCCCAGAGAACCAATTCCATTTACTGCACCCCTTTCTCCTCCACTCTCCTCCCCCTCCTCACTATCTTCGTCTGCTGCATACCCCATCGGGTTTTGCCGCGCCCAATTCCACTGATCCCGGCACATGTCCTCTACAGTGCGTGTAGCTCTGCATGAAAAAATCCAAGGTAAAGCAAAGAATATCAAACACAGGTAGCATGCACACAATAATGGACCTAGGCCACGAGACAGAGAAGCACATAAAGTCAAAGTCAATCCTAGATGCAAGAACAAACACATCTCATCTCACCTCCAATCAAGGTCTTGTTGCGCCTTGTCTGTGGATGCAAAGACCTCGGAACAGTCTCCTGGCCGTCTAGGACACAGCTTCACAGGAAGTTTCTGCATGGCAGGAAGCAAATCGAGGCCAGCCACACAACCCAGGTAATGATTAATGAATGCCGAGCACGCACACTCAATGACTACGAGGTATGGCGATTTCGAGAAGCGAGGATCAAAAGCAGGAGTCGGAAAAACGACATCTCACAACACGCGATTGCATAAGTGGACTACACTACAACTGAAACGGCTCAGAGGTGGTTTATTATGGAGAACCATAATGTCTGTGTGGAAGAAAAATAAAAAGGAATCATAGAGGGGAAGAAGCAGCAGGGCTTTCTCACCTGGCCACACGCTCTCTCGAATCCTGCCACCATCTCCAGCACTGTGGTGCCCTTGCCTGTGCCGAGGTTGTACACATCACAACCTGGAGGTGATGGAATGGGGGAGGGGCGTGCGAGGGGGTGCGGTTAGCCAAGAGGAGTGTGAGGGAGTGCGGAGGGAGTGCAAGGGGGTGCGGTTAGCCAAGAGGAGTGTGAGGGAGTGCGAGGGGAGTGCAAGGGGGTGCGGTTAGCCAAGAGGAGTGTGAGGGAGTGCGAGGGGAGTGCAAGGGGGTGCGGTTAGCCAACGGGAGTGCAAGGGGGAGTGCAAAGGGTCTCTGCACTGGAGGTCTTTGCCAGAGCACCAGAGCAAAGACCACAACAAGGGGTTCTAGACTAGGGGAGGCAGAGGCATAGAAAGGCACATTAGAAAAGCACATTATAGAGCCACTGCTTCCGCATCTACATCTGGTTGCCACTTCACGTACCTCCAGCCTGGCACATGAATATTCGCCTCAGTGCTGCTGCATGGCCTGCAGCAAGGTCCATGACGTGGATGTAGTCCCGCACCTGTTCATGCCACGTCACAAGGGGTTTCATCCGCGACACACGTCAGGGGAGGGGGAAAGGGGGGAGGAAGGGTGGGGAGAGAGGGGGGGTCAATGACCAGTGGCAAGAAACAGCAGTGGAACAAGAACATGAGTTGTTTTGCGGAACGGAATGGAGGAAGATGGTGCGAAGCACGTTGTGATAGGGAAAAAAAAAAAGTATTGTGACCTGCACATCGAATGCCACTGCCGAGGGGATGTGGGGACCTCCAACGGAAAAGCATTCTGCAACAAATGCACTGGCAGCTGCAACAATGCACTGGCAGCTGCAACAATGCACTGGCAGCTGCAACAATGCACTGGCAGCTGCAACAATGCACTGGCAGCTGCAACAATGCACTGGCAGCTGCAACAATGCACTGGCAGCTGCAACAATGCACTGGCAGCTGCAACAATGCACTGGCAGCTGCAACAATGCACTGGCAGCTGCAACAATGCACTGGCAGCTGCAACAACGCACCGGCAGCTGCAACAACGCACCGGCAGCTGCGACCTCGTGAAAAGAGCACTAAAGTCCTGGCTCATTCGCTTTGAATCTACCACTAGGAGGACAAACGACCTTAAGCTCCGTGGCTCGGTTCGAGGCGCCATACAATCCCATCGCCTTTTGAGGCCCCAAAAAAACAAGGAACGGTTTATTCGCTTCAATACCCCACGCCACTCACCCCGAGACCTCCCACTCTCACCCGCACTCCTCCCACTCACCCCTGTGCCGTCGCGTGTTGGGTAGTCGATCCTGAATACCGACAGGTGCGTCCGTCGCCCGACGGCCACCTGCTGAATGAACGGCATCAGGTTGTTGGGGATGCCGCGCGGGTCCTCCCCTATGCGCCCTGTCTAACGAAACAAACACTTCGCATACCCCGCACCACTCAACCCCAGCCCTCCCATACTCACCCGCTCTTCTGTCCCACTCACCCCTGTGCCGTCACGCGTAGGATAGTCGCTCCCAAAGATGGAAAGATGCGTCCGCCGCCCCACGGCCACCTGCTGAATGAACGGCATGAGGTTGTTGGGGATGCCGCGCGGGTCCTCCCCGATGCGGCCGCTGGGGTGCGCGCCCACGGGGTTGAAGTAGCGCAGCAGCACGATGCTCCACGTGGCGTCCGACGCGTACACGTCCTCCAGCACTCGCTCGATGTACAGCTGCACAGCACAGCACAGCACGCGAGGCGGTTTTTAACGAGTATGTTTGGATCGAAACACGCAATGGGCGTGAAAAGGCGAATTGTTCACTGCTGGTACATGGAAATATATCAGGGAAGGGAAAGCACCAGATTTCCCCGTATAATACATGCATGACAACCATTTATCACGATCTATGTGGTACACGTGTGTCAGTCTGGTCTATGGTGCTGAGCAGAGTCGAACCTAGGACCTGCCGTACCTGGGTCTGCCGGACCTGGGCCGTACGTAGGTTCTGCCGTACCTTGGATCTGCCGTACGGGTTCAGCGTCTGCAACTCGTCGTTCTCCGTGCACGGAACCTGCTTTGGCTGGCCATACACCGTGGCTGATGAAGAGAACACGATCTGCCAGAGTGGGGGAGAGACAAGGATTGAGGGAGTCACGAAAAATGCATCAGTTCCCGCTTGGTGGGGGTGAACGATTAGTTGGCCGGGGACCTGCTTCGGCTGGCTCTACACTGTGGCTGATGAAGAGAACACGATCTGCGAGAGTGGGAATGAGACAAGGATTGAGGGAGCAGCTCCTGCCTGGTAAGGGGAAACGGCTTCCTTGCAAGGGTCGAGAAGACGATCGTGACGGAGGGCAGGGATGAGAGTAATTATAGAGCTGCCGAAGGAATATTAGGGACGTTGAGTTGGTAGCAAAAGCTCCGAAGCACCTTGTAGTGCGTGCCTTTTTGCAGCCGAGATTGCTTATTACTTTTCGGCGCGTGCGTCTGAGACTCTTATCATGCGTGTATCAAGGCGCCATATCAAGCAAACCTTCTTGCAACAGTGATCGCTCATGACCTAAATTAAGCGTGCCATTGTTCTGATTTCACTTGTATTGAGGCGCCTTATGAAGCGTACCTTCTTGCAGCCGTGGTCGCTCATGACTTCCAGCAGGTTGAGCGTGCCGGTGACGTTGTTCTGGTAGTACTTGAGCGGGAACTTGACGCTCTCTCCCACGGCCTTCAACCCCGCGAAGTGAACCACCGCGTCGAAACTGCAAGCGTAACATTGCAAGTCAGTCATTGCATTTCAAGTGCGCATCAACGCACACGGCGGAAAATAATGGGAATCAGGCCCCAAAACATCGCATGATGCAAGATTGCAGAACGAAAGGTTTCTAGTTTTGGTGGTTTTTATTTTCAACCTTGGCGCTTGCGTTTTTCACTTACTGGATCTGATTAAAGAGCTCTTCAAGTGTCACCTTGTCAAGTAAGTCAACCTGCATCCATTCCATCCAATCAACAGAATGCTTTCTGAGTGACTAAAAGATGCGGACATGTCTTATACCTGAGTACGACGTGTCAGGCCAGTGCTATAACTGCTCTCTTGACTGACCTGAAGAATGTAAATGTTAATGTAACAAAAATCATTTAGAAATCACTCGTGTCTGACCTTGAAGAATGTTAGGTTCCTGCCGTTTTCGCCTGCCAACTCCGCCACTCGCTTCACGGCTTGCTCCGACGAATTGTCCAAGTTGTCGACCACAACCACTCTGAGGACACCACGTGGCAGCAAATCATAGGAACTAGATCAACCACCACGTAGCCAAGAACAGCAACGATGACCAAGTCCCCGAGTCGGCGAGCTTGGAAAGGGACGTATCATGAGAAGCTAAAAAAGCTACATAAGCTGAACTGATCGCGAGATGGGGCTGTTACCTGTAGCCCTCCTGCAGCAGCTGGACGCATGTATGGCTACCGATGTACCCTGCTCCTCCAGTTACTAAAATAGTCGCTTCTGCTGCTGGTCGGCCATTGGCCAGCCACGTGTTGCAAACTCTCAGTAGCGAAGGTTCCGGACTACTGTTCGCCATGTGCTCGCAGCAAGCTAGATCAGTGGCTGTTTTTGTGACAAGCGCGCCTACCATAACCTGATCAACAGCCAAAGCCAATTCGCTGACTGCTAACAGAACAAGCTTCCCGAGAGCGCTGAATTATTTGCACGGTAAATTAATGAGCACGCCTAACTAAGCTTCTGATTGAACGAACAGAGGTAGAACTGCGGTGATTCGGACCTGTCAAAATCAGAGACCTCGTCGACAAGGCAACTAGGTAAGTCTTCGGCGGCACTAAATGCCAGACACGTTGAAATGAAAGTATAACACGTCTTCAGGCGACAAAAGAGCGACCCTGGCTATCAAGGCTGAACGTCTATGGCTCCTGTAAATGGATAAAGACCCCCCGAGCACACGCCTGTCACTTTCAAGGTGGTTCTTCTTGGCCTTGTCCTAGACTGGTCTCACGTGTTTGTGGCTTCTTCGTTGGTTGGTTGCTGCTGTGATGAATTACTCTGGATGCCCCTCGTCCCTCTCCTCTCCTCTCCTCCCTGTCCCCTGCTGTGATGAACTACTTAACTTGCATTTTGGACTGCTACACACACCTCGAGAATGGATGTGACAAGCTCTCATCGGTTTCGTGACCCGTGTGTTCATCGGACGGCTGTCTTGCGCTTCTGCTGGTCCACTTGGGGCTTAGATGAGAGTACGTACGGTTTAGATCTTCCCCGAGGTTGCCTCTGACAATTTGATGCGCGGTCTGATCACTGCTGGCTGGCGCGATTCGTCTCTGCTATGTGATGCAGGCAACGCCTTACGAGTCACGGAGAGAGCATCACAACACCCTCCTAGAACTTCGCAATCGAACGAACTGGATCGCAGGAGAACGTGCTGCGATCAGGGGCTGCAATTTTCGCCACAAGCCGCGCTCCGTGAAGGGAAGGAGGTGGATGAAAGCTCAACCGCATCTCCGACCCTAATTGTGGAGACGTGCTCGCATGTTCAGCGGGCAAACCGCATTACGCCACGTCAGATGAGTCTGGAGGGTCACTTGCAGCACGCTAGTTGGTTGGTGGTTGTCCAAGATTGCGATTGGTAGTGGGGACCACGGGTTGGGGGACAAGCCTCCATTTTGCAGGACGCTCCTCGACCCCGACCCTGCAAATCTGGTTGGTTTTTGGAGACAACCCAGCCATCGTTCAGGATGGTACTGTACTTTTCTCTGGTGATCCGGATTTGGTGATTGCAACTCGGCTGCGGAAGAGCTCGTTTACAAACCACCCGGCATCTTTTCCCACTTACTGTTTCTCATAAACATAGGAGTTACTTAGCCGAAATGCCTGGGGGTCACTGTTTCTCGTAAAGATAGGACCACATTCCACTTTGACTTCGTTTTATGGCTACTTCAACAAACCTAGGCTCTGTTCTGCTGGAGTTCTCGCCGCCGCACAGTTGGTGCGGAGGTCAATTTCGTAGTGACTTCTGGTGCCTTTTAGGTCGACTTGGAAAAACATGAAGGTTCGTATTTAACCGAGGTTCGTATGAAAGCTCAGCCAAAATCGGGTCTGCCCAACGGGAAAATTGTCTGGCAAGAAAATAACCAAGGATGACTCTCCCCCTCGATTAACCTCCACCCAAGTTTGTGTGTTTGTTTTGGGGATGGTTGAGCATCTTTAAATCTGTAACGACAGCTACGAAATAAAGTTCATCACTGGCCTATGATTTGCAAGCGCGATATTTTCGGAATGCAGAAACGTTTAATGTAATAGGGCTAGATGGATTGCTAAAACTTTTCTTGATGGCGAACCCAAAATTGGGCGTTTACGCTTACAGACAAGTAATTGGGGGAATGTTTTCAAGCAGCCCCCGCATCAGTGATTCTACCTTGAGAGGCCGCACCAGTGGTGCGGACTAATTGCCAGGAGAGGAAATGGCGTGGAACAAACCGGCGGTTAAAACCCGCGTCTCATATTTCTTGTTTCCAACCAAAGGTAATACGCTTGAAACCGGGTAACCAAACAATCACTCGCAAAACACTCGCGTTTGGTTTGGCGCAGGTGTGATTGGCTGCAAACCAAACAGTTTGGTAGAGGCAGGTGCCTGACTACCAAGCCGGGTTTGCGAGAAACAGGCAACTGCATGTGCGACGGACTGAGAATGGGACGCACAGCCCACAACCGAGCGTATATTAGAGCTGGAAAAATATGAGACTGCAAACCCAGACAGGTTGTAGGTGGAGAAACATACTCGCACCGATTTCTCTAGCGACTAAGTCTCATTTCAGCATCTTATTTTCCCTAGGTTTATTCCAGCGTCAAACGTGACAATACCTTGTACCTCTCGTTGTCGTTGTTTATTTTTATCTTTGGTCACTCCGCGCCTGCATTTGCTTTTACGCACGTATAGTCCGTCCATCGCCAGAGCTGGTCCTCATTATTGCAATAAGATGCACCACTCTATTTGGACCAAGGTGTATTGCAGTAACGCTCCCCCCTGTCGAATTTGGACGGAAGGGACACGACGGAAAGGCAGCAGTTAGGACGAGATAGGAAGCGACGCGACGGAAAGGCAGCAGTTAGGACGAGATTGGAAGCGACGCGACGGAAAGGCAGCAGTTAGGACGAGTTAGGAAGCGACGCGACGGAAAGGCGAGGGTTAGGACGAGATAGGAAGCGACGCGACGGAAAGGCGAGGGTTAGGACTGGATAAGCAGCGACGCGGCTGAAAGGCGAGGGTTAGGACTCGATAAGCAGCGACGCGACATTACAGGAAGCGACGCGACATGGCTGGAAGCGAGGAGAAAGGGATGGGCGTGATGCGAGGGTAAGGGGAGAGTCGCGAAGGGGTGTGGCGGGACGGTTGGGAGGGAAGGGACTGGAAGGGAGGTAAGGGGTGAGAAGGACCTCCGGGATGCGACGAGAAGGGGAGGGGTGGGACGGTGCGTGAAGGGGAGCCGGAAAGGGTAGGAAGGGATACTGTGGGATGCAACGAGGAGTGGAGAGGAGAGAAGTGGAGAGGAGAGGAGAGGACAGGAGGGGACGCTACTGGACACGACGGGACGGGACGGGAACGGGGGGGACCTGATGGGACGTGAGGGGACGCGACGGGAAAGGACGGGACGGGACGGGACGGGACGGGACGGGACGGGACGGGACGGGAAGGAAACGAGACGAGAGGGGACGGGACGGGACGGGACGGGACATGACGGAACGGGATGGGACGGGACATGACGGGACGGGATGGGACGGGATGGGACGGGATGTATGACGGGACGGAGCGGGAGGGAACGCGACGGAGCGGGACGGGACTGGCGGGAGGAAACGTAGGAGACGCGCCGATCCCCATACCCCTTTCCCTTCCCACATCCCCTTTCCCTAACCCCATCCGCCTTCCCCTCCCCCATCCCCCTTCTCTTTCCCCATCCCCCTTCTCTTTCCCCATCCCCCTTCTCTTTCCCCATCCCCCTTCTCTTTCCCCATCCCCCTTCTCTTTCCCCATCCCCCTTCCCTTCCCGCATCCCCTTTCCCTTTCCCCATCCGCCTACCCTTTCCCCATCCCCTTCTCTTTCCCTATCCCCCTTCCCTTCCCCCATCCCCCTTCCCTTCCCCCATCCCCCTTCTCTTACCACATCCCCTTTACCTTCCCCACACCCTCCTTTCCCTTCCCCCATCCCCCATTCCCTTTACCCATCCCCCATCCCTTCCCTGCATCCTCCTTTCCCTTCCCCCATCCCCCTTCCCTTCCCCCATCCCCCTTCCCTTCCCTCATCCCCCTTTCCCTCCCCCTCTGCTATCACCTTCTTTTCTCTTTCTGCTACCACCTCCCTTCCCCCTCTGCTGTCACCTCTCATCCCGTGATACCACCTCCCTTCCCCCTCTGCTGTCACCTCTCATCCCGTGCTACCACCTCCCTTCCCCCTCTGCTGTCACCTCTCATCCCGTGCTACCACCTCCCTTCCCCCTCTGCTGTCACCTCTCATCCCGTGCTACCACCTCCCTTCCCCCTCTGCTGTCACCTCTCATCCCGTGATACCACCTCCCTTCCCCCTCTGCTGTCACCTCTCATCCCGTGCTACCACCTCCCTTCCCCCTCTGCTGTCACCTCTCATCCCGTGATACCACCTCCCTTCCCCCTCTGCTGTCACCTCTCATCCCGTGCTACCACCTCCCTTCCCCCTCTGCTGTCACCTCTCATCCCGTGCTACCACCTCCCTTCCCCCTCTGCTGTCACCTCTCATCCCGTGCTACCA